CCATAATGGGTTGGGATGTGTATTGATGCAAGATGGCAAGGTGGTAGCATATGCATCGAGGTAATTAAAACCTCACGAAAAGAATTATCCAACGCACGATCTGGAGATGGTTGCAGTAGTGTTCGCTCTTAAAATTTGGCGTCACTACTTGTATGGTGAAAAATGTTATTTATATACAGATCACAAGAGTCTAAAGTACTTTATGACTCAGAAATAGTTAAATTTAAGACAGAGAAGATGGGTGGAATTTCTCAAGGATTATGATGTTGTGATTGATTTTCATCTGGGAAAAGCAAATGTGGTAGCGGATGTCTTAAGCCGAAAGAAGTTTGCAGCCTTAAGAGCTATGGATGCTAGACTATCATTAAGTGAAGATATGTTATCTGTCCCGAATTGACTCTCAAGCCATCATGGCTAGATCGAATTAAAGAATTGCAAGCTAGGGATGAAAAGTGTTCAAAGAAGCTACAACAAATAAGGAATGGAGAGTGTACAGATTATGAGATGAAAGCTTATGGGAACCTATATTATCAAGGGAGGCTAATAATTCCAAATGATGATGAGTTAAAGAATGATCTATTAATGGAAGCTCATTGTAGTCCATTAACGATGCACCCAGAAGGAAACAAAATGTATATGGACCTCAAGAGTCGATATTGGTGGTCTGGAATGAAGAAAGACATTACATAATTTGTATCTAAGTGTTTGAGTTGTCAACAAGTCAAAGCCGAGCATCAAGTTCCGTCAGGATTATTGCACCGCTTTCTATTCCACAATGGAAGTGGGAAAATGTGACAATGGATTTTATTTTGGGGTTACCCTTGACTCCGAACAAAAGAGATTTAATTTGGGTAATTGTCGATCGACTGACTAAATCAGTGCATTTCCTTCGGTTAGAACAGATTTCTCTATGGAAAAATATGCAAAATGCATATTAGAGAAATTATACGATTGCATGGTGTACATGTTTCTATAGTTTCTGACCGAGATCCTCGCTTTACCTCGAGATTCTGGAAATCCCTACATGAAGCATTGGGAACTCGCCTAAACTTTAGTACGGCTTTTCATCCTCAGATTGATGGACAATCTGAGCGAACGATCCAAATCCTAGAAGATATGTTGAGAGCTTGTGTAATTGAATTCAAGGGATCGTGGAAAGATATTTGCCACTTGTCGAATTTGTTTACAACAATAGTTACCAGTCCAGTATCAAGATGGCACCTTATGAGGCTTTATATGGAAGAAGATATCTTACGCCATTAAACTGGTATGAACTCAAAGATCGAAGTGTTCTTGGTCCGTATTTGATTCAAGATGTGGAAGAGAAAGTTCGAGAAATTCAACATAATCTCAAAGTGGCATTTGATCGATAAAAGTCCTATTCTGATCTCAAAAGAAAAGAAATTGAATTTGAAGTTGGAGAAAAGTTTTCTTAAAAGTTTCTCCTTGGAAGAAAGTATTACGATTCGGTCGGAAAGGAAAATTGAGTCCTAGATTTATTGGGCCTTATGAGATTGTAAAGAGAGTAGGACATGTGGCATATCAGCTAACTTTACCCCCTGAGATGGAAAAGATACATGATGTCTTTCACGTTTCAATGCTTCGAATATATAAATTGATCCCTCTCATATCGTGACACCAAAAGAGATTGAGGTTCGACCTGACTTGACTTATGAGGAAGAACATGTTCAATATTAGCTCACGAAGTGAAACAACTAAGGAATAAGATTATTCATTTGGTCAAAGTTCTATGGAGAAATCACAAAATAGAGGAAGCAACGTGGGAGCGTGAAGAAGATATGCGATATCAGTATCCTCATTTGTTCGTGTAATGAAAATTCGAGGACGAATTTTCTTAAGGGATGGAGATTTGTAACATCCTCAATACCGGGTTAGTGATTTAAGTGTAAGATTTTTAATTTAATGACCAAACTAAATAAATTGAAAAGTGAAGGAATTAATTGAAAGATATTGGTGTAGGATTGATTAATAAGTGAAGAAGAAGTAAGAGGGTAAAAGGGTCATTGAGCAAATAAAATAATAAAATAATAAATTATGGGTATTATAATACCCATGTTAATGAATTGAAGAGATAAGTTCCAGATTACTCATCCCCCTTTTCTCTTCATCTTCTTCATCTTCAACGTGAAACCCAAGCTCAAGGTAAGAATCCGAACCTTGGTCGTTTTTTTGATTTTTAGCTTAGAAATTGAAGTTTGGATGTTATATAAGCTAAAGGAAAGCTTATATGACATTAAAACAACAAGATAAATGTTTTAGAGATAGATTTGAAAAATGGGTTTTTAGATGAAATTTTGATATGGATGAGTTTTTGAAGTTTGAATAAGATTTTTGACTTGTCAAAAGGTTAATTAAGGAATATAGAGTGTTAAATTGATTAATAACATGTTTTGAATTTGGGTATGGTTATTGGTTTTAAGAATTTGAATGAAGTATTGGAAATAATAAAGTGTTGAAATGATAGAAGTTAGTTAAAATGGTTGTAGCTAAGTTTGGTAGTATGGAAGAAATTGTGTATGAGAAAATTTAGTAAGAATTGAGGATTTTCGGATTTGAACAGTAAATTTACAGATTATGCGGAGGGAACTGATACCCCATTGGGGGGGAATCGATTCTCTCTAAAGGAAAAGTTGAAATTTGGTTCATTAAATTTGTTTAAGCTGTTAGAGGTTAATTGCAAGGTTTAGATTTTGATAATTGTCTCGAAAATTATGTTCATGTAGATATCGAGCCTAAACGAGTTCCGGAACAAGGGACAAGTAAGATCGATCGAGGGAAAGGCAAAGAGATTTAGGTGAGTGCATATGCATATCATGATTATAGAAATACATTCAGGTCTAGACTTGTGATAAGTCTAGATTTTATATCTTGATACATGAATAATAATATGACTTCTAAGTGTATATTACTATGATCATATGTTATGTGTGTTATATGCATTGTTTTACCTGATTTATGTATTACATGAAAATGTGAGAACAATTATGCAACATGGAGTTATATGATTACATGAAAAGATGATATGAGATATGTGATAAAGGTAAGAAGTTACATGTCTACGCGATATAAACTACGTGAAATGTAAAAGCCCATGTTATGTAGATGAGAACTATAGGTATAGTTGGCATGCCAAGAGTAGAGGGTCTACGCGGTCTTTCGGGACAAAATTCTACGTGGTCCTTCGGGACGTAAATGTATTCTTTAGAGCATGTATGATGTCTTTTGAGACATTTACTTGATCCTTGGTATATGTATATGATTCTTAAGGAATTTCTATGTGGTCCTTAGGGACATATTATATGGCACTACGGTGCAATTCTACGTGGCACTTCGGTGCATCTCTACGCGGTCCTTTGGGACAAATTCTACGTGGTACTTCGGTGTAAATTTATATGAGCTGTGGTGACAACATAGTGCACAACCTCACAGTACTCACATACCTCGGGTTCTCAGTATTGTATCATGGGCTATTGAATCTATTGAACTTACGGAATTTATTATATGAATTTATGATGATTAAATTGAGAAGATTATTGGTAAGGTACATTGTTATGTAGCTTACATTGATTGCATAGATGTTTTCGTTACGTTTCATTTTATTATAGCAACATTGCTATATTTCATTGTTATAATTATTATGCCTCACTAAGTCTATGACTTAGCGTGTAAGCGATTTACACGTAGGTATGAAGAACCAAGATTAGCAGAAATAGAAGTGGCAAAAACAACAACACTGTTAGAAGATCAGATCAGAAATAATTACTAAAGTATGTATTTTGATTGTGTATAATATGTTGGTATGTAAGAAATATAATAAGTTGTTAGTACTAACGCTCTGATCGACTTTTCTAATGTTTTAAACATATTTATGTAAATGTAAATGTATAGTAATGAATGGTTAAATTTTTACGAGTTTTATGTACGTTTTACGGCAGTACTGTAGCAGGGGAATCGATTCCATGTAGCAAGGTACCGATTCCCTATTTGCATTCTGGAAAATTTGTGTAATCGGTACTGTAGCAGTTACTGTTCAGTACTATAGCAGATTGTTGTTCATACGTATTTTAATATACACAAATACGTTTTTGCCTAAAATTTTATAATAAATATAATTCAATAATTTATTATAGTATTTTCTTAAAATAAGTTCAAATGTTTTGTTATTTTGTAAGGAAAAATGTTTTAAAAAGGCAATGTGACATTCGGACTTGTATTCGGATCGGATACGGTTGGGGTGTTACAGGAGAAGCGGAGAGGGGAAAGCAGACGATTAATTTTTCTTAAATATGATAATAATTCGTGTTAGATAATAATCAAATTTAAAAGTTGTGACGAAGTAAACACTTAAAAATATAACGAAAAAAGATTGAACATTTACGTTTAGTAAATTTTTTTCTAAACACCTAAAATTAATTTAAAACATAATTTTTGACACTTATTTACTTTTAATGAAAAAGTAATAGTAACAATAATAGACTCCTCAACTCTTTTACTATAAATAATTAGTTTAATATCATGGATAAGCCCACCATAAAGATAACAAATACTCGGTCAAGTTGTAAATTTTATTTATTATTTATTTTAAATTTTATATAATAATTATTAAAGTTATTAAATTATTATAAAATAATTATTATAATATTACAGTAAATTATAAAATTCAATAAATTTAATAATATATTTATAATAATTTCAAAATTTTAAAAATTATTCTATAATTTTTAAGAATTTAATAATTAAAAGAAATATTTAAATATAATTTAGTAATCTTTAATATATTATTATAGATAAAAAAGTATCTTGTACCGCCCCGTTTCAAAGTACAACTTATAGCCGTAATTTTTAATGAAAAATAACTAGCAATAACATTAGAGCTCTTAGCTCTTTTACTATAATTAATTAATTAATTGGTTATTGAGGTAAGACAACCGCAAAGACAACAAATACCCGGTCAAATGGTAAAATCTGTCTACTGTTATCCTCTCTCCATCTCTGTTTGTCTTCAAACATAAGATTTTATTAGAAAAAACATGCTTCTGCTCTCTCTGTTATTGGTTGTGGTATAAGATCAAGATCAACTGATCCTCAATAAAAAAAAGGAACAAGGTATGTTTCTAAACCTAGGTTTATCTTCTCGAAATTTGAATTTTCTTTGTGGGCTGTTTTTTATTTCATTAAAATAATTACTTGAAGTGTAAAATGTTATGCATGTACTTTTTTCCCTTCTTCTCTGCTTTGATCTTGGAATCTAATATTGCCATTTACTTATAGAAAGGTATTTTTACCCTTTAATTGAAATCCTTTTCTCTGTTCAAACATCTGAGTTTTGTTGAGTGTGACCGGGAAAGTTTCTTTTTCAATATGCAGATCAGAAATTGAATGAAAAGGCTAAACTTTTTTTCCTCAGATGATAGTAATAATGATATCCTTTTAGTTGCAAATTTTAATTTTTGATTAATTGGGTATTCATGTTTACTTTGTAATTTGGCGTTTGTTTTATTACTTTAAATTAAAGTCATTAGCGGTTTGGGATTTAGGAAATTTTGGTTTGAACCCTAAAGTGGTAAAGTATAATGGAGTTACTCTGGAGAGTTAAAACATCATAAATAGAGGAATTTATGATAGCTTGTATTTAAGAAAGTTTTGCATACGTTTTTAGTTCAAGATTTCACGGTATTGTAGTGTAAAAGTATACTCAAACAAGTTGAACTATGTCTTGGGTTTTAAACCTTTGAAATGCTAATCCTTGGTTCAGGTAAAGCAACAACTAATATGGCGACTTGATTGATTAGTGTGTTAAATTTTTGGATTTGATTTTTATTGGCATTGTCTTATAAAATTTATGAAACTTGTAATTGGTGTTCTAGATTTATTTCCTACCTGTGACCTGTCTAAAATATTGCAAATTTGTTATATTAGTTTAATCTGCAGCACCCTTTTGAAAAATAAAGTGTTGGAGATCTTTGTTTGTTGTTTAACTGTTTTTTGTAAAATATACTGAAGCTCGGAACATTGCACTGATCAAAGATCAAGCTCAGTTGAAGCCTAGAGTAACTTTGTATTGGTGCTCTTGAAGATTCCCTCTTTTGCTCCCGAAGGTGCTTATGGGAGATAATTGTCTTTGTGGGCATCTAACCTTTTAAATCAAGCACAAGAGAGCATACAGACATGGGCACCATTCACCGCAGGTTAATTGTTACCTACGTTTCACCATTAGACACTTCAAAGATAAGACACAACTAGAGTGAAAAACATAATCTTTTCCAACCTATTCTTGGATTTGAATTCTTCTTCCTTTTTTTTTCCTTTTTCTTTTTGTAAATAATTTGTTTTGAACCTTATGCGATTCTTCTGCATCTTGATTCCTGAATTGCTACATTTTTTCTGGCTTATTGCTTTCGATGAAATATTCTTGAGGCTCCTTTTACTAAACTAATTGTCTTGGCAGTGGAGTTTTTAAGAAAACAAATGGTAGAGCCAGGCTTGTTATAGCAACAATTCTTGGAATTGTGTTAGGATTTTTTATTGGTGTTTCATTTCCATCAGTTTCAATTTACAAGGTATGTTCGCCTTCATTAATAATTAAGCTATTCTGCAGTCAATCTATCATCCATATGATTTGTTTTCACTCCCTACAGATTCGCTCATATTCAAGCCTTAGATCAACTTTTGAAGGATCCATATCTAATGACCAAGACTTTATAGTCAGGTCCCCTGAGAGAACCACAGATAATCTACCTAAGGTGCCTGTTTGGTTACTCTGTCCCCTTTGTCCTTTTAACCTTTGTTACTTGGAAGGAGAAGATGTTTTATTGACAGAAATGATATATTTTTTCTAATTATCAGTGAAACTTTTGTTCACCACTTTTTTTAAACCAATATGTTTTTTCCTCAGCTTGAGTCTAATATACCTGTTTTCTGGGTTCTTGTGTGGAGCTGAGCTCTTTGTTCAAAAATATTGCAGTGTTTGGTTTGATCCTTTTTGTTAATTGTTTTTTGCTTCTGTGTTTTCCAGATATATGTTCCTACAAATCCTCATGGTGCAGAAATGTTACCTCCTGGAATTGTTGTTCCAGAAACTGACCTTTACCTGCGCAGGCTATGGGGTGAACCTAGTGAGGTATGATCCACAAGTGATATTTACGTAGAAAGATCATAATCCTGGTGCTTAAGCGGTACCATCTAAGTAACTGGAACTGGCTGGAATTTTCCTTTTCTTTTATTATCTTTACCGACTAGGAACATACATGCCAGCTTATCGTGTTCTTTCCAAACTCCAAAGGAGAATTTCTGATGAGAGAGGACTATTTTGGCCATAAATCACTATCATTCCAGTTTTGGAACATACGTTTTTCTGGGTGCTAAACGTGGATGTTAATATTCATGATTAATAGGTTGTCTCTTATCATGATTTTCCTAAACTCTGCAGGATCTGAAGAAGAAATCAAAGTATTTAGTGACGTTTACTGTTGGTATTGATCAGAGGAATAATATAGATAAATGTGTTAAAAAGGTCAGACAATGGGACATTCCATTTTTCTTTCTAATTTTTCATTTCCAGGGTTTTTGATGCTTATGTATTCTTACATGTCGTAGTTTTCTGAGGATTTCCAAATCTTGCTTTTTCATTATGATGGGCGGACGACTGAATGGGACCAATTTGAATGGTCAAAGAATGCAATCCATGTTAGTGTAAAGAAGCAAACAAAATGGTAAGTTCTATAGCGGGCAGAATGGTTTGTGTTTCTGGGTCCTTTTAGTTGGAAGGAATTTTTAAGAAAGACCTATTCCTTGCTTCCTTGTTAGGCGGATGGTAATTTGCTGCTAGTTCTGATAGTCCTGCTATTGTATATATTTTATTAGGTGGTATGCAAAAAGGTTTTTGCATCCAGATGTTGTTTCCGCTTATGAATATATTTTCATCTGGGATGAAGACCTGGGAGTGGAACACTTCAATTCGGAGAGGTTTGTCCTCTAAGCCAGTTACATTTTTCACTTAGTTTCAACATGTACATGTTTCTTTCTTATTTCTTCTACACAAATTACCAGATACATACAACTGGTCAAGAAGCATGGTCTGGAGATCTCACAACCAGGTTTGGAGCCCAATAATGGATTGACATGGCAGATGACAAAGAGGAGAGGTGACAAAGAAGTTCACAAGTAGGGTCTCTATCACTTGGCCATATAAAGTTGCAGTTACTTTAGCAATCACAAAAGGAATTTTCTTTTGGGTGTCATCTGAAATTCTGCTTTTGAACTTGGTTCACAGGGTTACAGAGGAGAAACCAGGCTGGTGTAGCGATCCACATTTGCCCCCATGTGCTGCGTATGCTCCCTCTCTCTCTCTCTCTCACACACACACACACATAATGCATCTTGCAAATAATCAGCAAAACTGGTCATACTTGTGAATGAGCAGTATTTCTAATGCATGCCACTGTTGATTTTCCTTCAACCGGGCATCTTCTTTTTCTCTTGGTGCATTTAACATTGTTGCTTTCTTTCAGTTTTGTGGAAATTATGGCACCCGTATTTTCTCGGGAAGCTTGGAGATGTGTGTGGCATATGATTCAGGTAAAGTATAGTTAAGAATTCCGTGGAGCCCAAGTAAATAAATGAACTTAAATCAGATTTGAACTGGCTCAATTTCCAGCACATTTGGGATGAGTTCGCTAAGTTCTCAACTTCTCCCATGACGGGATTAAGAATGAAGACATGGACTAAGATCTTAGAATACTGTTTGCTAAAAATTTACTTAATAACTTGGTACAATTCCCTGAGCTCCTTCCTTATGATACGACCAAAAATCAGGTTTCTTGTGGAACGGTTTGGTTCGTGGATGCTTAATAACTTGGTGCAATTTCTTTTGTTCTTTCGTGTTGATACTAACAAGATGCTTAAAGAATCTTGTTCTTGTAGAATGATTTAGTGCATGGATGGGGACTGGATTTTGCTCTCAGAAGATGTGTTGAGGTTAGTGGTTTCTCTCTCTTTTTATCATTATTTTGCTATTCACTTCTCTACAGTGGAAGTCTTTAATAGATGGAGAAATCCAAGCCACGGTAAAATGCTTTATAATTACCAGCTCTTTTTGGTGACTCTTCCTCGGAGAATCAGCAACACTTGAATTTATGAAGGCATTTTTATGACAACTAATGCAGAATGTTCAAATTGGCTAGTTTGTGAAAGTTGTTAAAAGTCTTTAAATTTTCTACTGAGATTGTAATTGTTTCACTATCTAATAACATGCTTAGCTTGCTTCTCTTATATAGTTTCATGTTTATCTCGTCCTGGCCTCTTATTTTCTCTTGTAATAAATTGCCATTTTCTTCCTCACAGCCTGCACATGAAAAAATCGGTGTGGTAGATTCACAGTGGATTATTCATCAAGTAATCCCTTCTCTTGGGAATCAGGTGAGTTCTCATCAGCTTACCAGATAATTTTGGTTCCAATGCCAAATGATGTTTTAGCTTATTTCCTCTACTGATTATGTAAATTATTAATTATATGAATATGGCTTTTAATCCCATGTGTTTCATTGAACTTCAGGGAAAATTGGAGGATGGGAAAGCTTCTTGGGAAGGGGTAATGCATATTATGAATCTTGACATCATTTTATGTACATTTTGAAAGTTATTCTTAGATTTGAAACTTCTCTTTTGTGAAAGAAGGATTAAATCTCTAAACCAACTCGTTTCTTTCTTCCTTTTCTATTCACAGGTTAGAGCAAGGTGCAAAAACGAATGGGCGATGTTTCAGAAACGACTTGCGACTGCAGACAAGGAATACCTTGCTCAGCTTGGAAAGGGGGACTAATTATTAATTTTATTGATTTCTTTTTCTCCAAGTCCTTTCACCCCCATTTGTACATGTATATTACCTCATCTGATGTTTGTTAGGATTAAGCTTGAGTGATAATTTTTTTTGCTGAAAGAGGGTGGACTCATTTTCCTGAACCACATTCGTTTTGTATCTTAGATTCCTACAGCTATAAAAAGGGGAAATTTTTTCTTTTATATATATCTTCCTCGTGAGTTGCTCCTTTTTCTACTTCCATTTCTGACATGACCGTATTCCCTGGGCATGTCTCGGACGACGGTATATTCTTATATTCAGATATATGATATAGATGCAGGCCATAAAAGGACAATGCTTTTGCCATGTAATAAGGGTTAACATATAGAAATCCACCGCTGCATGGATGTTCGAACCTACCTCATTAGCAACTCCCTTTCATTTCATGTGACGCCCGTAAGCAAGTTGCAAAACCGGTTTCCCCGAGATCTAAGGTTGAAACTGCGCAAATTACTCGTGATTTGCATAGCAAAGCATTGCCCCCTCAACTCTCCTATCCATCATCCTCTCTTGTAATTATATCAAACAAATACAGCTCGAATCAAATTGATCAAAACTATAAAAAAGTAAAATAAAATCCGCTAACGAATCATTCTACGGGTATCTTTGAATGAAGTCTAGTCATGTCCTAGTATATCGATAATGAATATAAATTTTCAAAAGAGACGAAACAGTAAAATAACCATCAAATCATCTCATTATAAATGTTATTTTAAATGATAAAATACTATATATCTCTTATTTAAATATCTTATTGGCATAATTTCTTTATTTGGAAGCCAAGGGGAATTGAAGAATGTGAAAAAGGTTTTCCTGATTTGCCTGGTTGGTAACGGTGATTTTGATGGGTGAAGGAAGCCCCAAGGCCAGGCCTCACTGAAGAGTGAAAATGAAGGATTTTTGTTTCTGTGTCTCTCTCACCAAACTCCAATTGAGTTTGAGGATGGCAAGCCGGTTTGCTTGCATTAGCAGGCAGGTACCTCACTTACATATTACCTTCCTGCCTTGTGTGCTAAGTCTCAACAATATTAGATGTTTTGGAAGACCCCATTGGACTGCCACACAAAAATTGAAAAGCTTAAAACATCATTCATTTTGACCAACATCACCAAATATGCACCCTTTCTTAATCTGACCGTTTGCTTCCCTTCTGGAAGAACAAATAAACAATACAAGCAGTACTTAAAAAATTTAAAACAGCGTTAGGCACCAACCCATCTTCGCAATCTACATAAAATAAATAGCCTGCTTAAAAACCTACACTCTCATACAAGCCGAAACCAACCCCCTCTGTCAGCTTATTTGCAAGCCCCTCTCACCGTTGATTGTTCAAACTCTGAGTGCTTTTCTGGTGGTTTTTTCATGGAGTTGTAGTAGGTCACCTCTGTGAATAATCTTGTAAACAAAGGTCTCTCTCTTTGTTCATTCTCTTCAACTTTTTCTTCTTTTTGACGTGGGAATGTGTTTGATGAAACAAAGTTTTGCTTTCTTTCTTTGAATCCTTTTCAGGAGCTCCTAAAACTATATAGTTTTCCACTTCTTTGCAAGGTAACATTTGCTTTCTCTTTGCTTCATACATAACTTTTTTGCCCAAAGCAAACTTTTCTTTAGTTACTGTATTTTCCTTCTCTTAAGCATGCAGGCAAGGAAATCTTTCATCAATGAGCAGTCCAGACAATTTTATTAAATACAAAAGTACACATCCAGTTGCTGTCCGTCTGATAATTGTTTATTGTTTTTATTTTGTTTGTTTCATTAGAGATGGGAGAGATGTCAAGCTTCCAACTGGGTGTTATCGGTGCCCTGTTTCTTTCAGTTGCATCATCTGTCTCCATTGTCATATGCAACAAAGCCCTGATGAGCAATCTTGGTTTCCCCTTTGGTACTTTGTCTATTCTTAAACATCATCTTTCATTATTTACCACAATTACTGAGTTGAATTTTTTTTTCTTTAACCCCATTCCTCCTTCAGCTACAACACTCACTAGCTGGCATCTCATGGTGACATTTTGCACCCTTCTCGCGGCCCAACGCTTCAATCTTTTCGAAAACAAACCCATTGACATGAAGACCGTGATGCTCTTTGGCATCCTCAACGGTGTTTCCATTGGACTTCTCAACTTGAGCCTTGGGTTTAACTCCATAGGATTCTATCAGGTTAACTTCACTCTTACAATCCATTGTTGTAAATTGTGTGCTCATTCTTTGTGGTGCTTCTCTTGGCAGATGACAAAACTTGCAATCATACCATTCACTGTATTATTGGAAACCATCTTCCTTAAAAAGCAATTCAGGTTTTTTCTCCTTCTCTTTTTTACACTTGTTATAGTTGAACATTTTTGAGATTCAAAGCTTATCAGTAATTTGGTGTTCTACTATGTGCAGCCAAAATATAAAGTTGTCCCTTTTCCTTTTACTTGTTGGGGTTGGCATTGCTTCCATAACTGATCTGCAACTCAATCTCGTTGGGACAATCCTTTCTCTCCTCGCCATTGCGACCACCTGCGTTGGCCAAATTGTATCCTTTGATTGTCGTTAAACATTACATTTCAGAGCCATATTCCAAAGTTTATGCTTAACTTGATGAATATAGCTGACAAACACAATACAGAAGAGGCTGAATGTCTCTTCAACACAGCTGCTGTACCAGTCAGCCCCATTTCAAGCAGCAATTCTTTTTGTCTCGGGCCCTTTGGTGGACCAATTACTCACCAAACAAAATGTGTTTGCTTACAAATATTCTCCTATAGTCTTGGTATTGAACCAAAACCTCTTTTTTTCTTTCTTTTTTCCCTCATCAGCTTATCACTCGGATGAGAATTTTTCCTCTACATTTTGCAGGCATTTATCATCCTCTCGTGCATTATTTCAGTATCTGTTAATTTCAGTACATTTTTGGTTATTGGTAAAACATCCCCGGTCACCTATCAAGTTCTTGGTCACCTCAAGACTTGCCTGGTTCTTGCCTTTGGCTATACATTGCTGCATGACCCTTTCACAGATAGGAACATCATTGGAATCTTGATTGCCATTTTTGGGATGGGCTTGTATTCTTATTTTTGCACCCAAGAGAACAAAAAGAAACAAGCTGATTCTTTGGGATCACAGGTATTTATATATATGTATATTTCTCCGAGTTTTCATTTTTCTTTAAGTGCTCATCTCGGACATCCCATTACGATGTATCTCCGGACAGAGTATGGGATATACCGGTCCATGAACCGTCCAAAACATGGAAAAAAATAACATTTAATCTCTGATCATGTTGATGTCTCGTGTTTTCAGATGAAAGAAAAGGATGCAACACCATTTCTGGCTCTAGAGAAAGAAGGCCATGAGGTTAAAAATTCAAACAAAGATTCCCTTGTCTAAAACAAAACAGGACGTTGTGTATTAAGGAGTTGTTTCAAACATTTTGTACTTCAAGCGTAAATCAGTTTTTGATTCTTTAAATAAACCACTCATTTCCCACTTCATCTGAACTTCCTCTTCTCAGCTCTTTGTAAAATTCAAGAAATCATTAGCAAACTGTAATTTATCAACTTCATATTGCTACCATTTCTTTGCATTTGAAAATTGATATTACTCATCTTTCAGATAAAATCTAATATACTTCTATGAAATTAATTTCCCCAGTTTTTTCCTTGGCCTAAAAGATATTAGACTGATCTGCTTATAATGATAATATCATATAAATGCAGTGCACAATACTTGTCTTAGGCAAGTGTAATTGTATATATTTTGAGAGTAGTATTAGATGTGATTGGTGATTGTTTATTTCAATTTTTAATCATGTGACCAAAATTTGATTTTTTTTATTAACCTAAAGGTGATTACAAAATCACTTTGATTTTATTTCTAGATATAGATAATATTTTGTGATCCGCTGTTTATCTTAAAGCATATCTTGTTATCGATTGTGAATCACCTTGATTTTTTTATAGTAAATAGGAGATGTAATGTGGTGATTGTTTATTTCATTTTTTAATAACGGGATCGAAATTTGATCTCACTAACTCGCTAGTTACCTTAAAACATCGACTGTGAATTATATTGATTCTAATAAAAAAATGTAAACTATACTATTGATCACATCTAATTATTGTCCCTTTTCATTTTGAATATCATTTTTAAAATTTTGTCAATCAGATAATTCAACTATTTAAATGCATTCAATCAAGTCACTTGTTGTTAACATTTAAAATAGTCGGATAATTTGATTGACAAATTTTCAAAAATGATGATCAAAATGAAAATAGGCAATAGTTAAGTGATCAATGATATAGTTTATGGTTAAAAGTTTTCAGTTGACGCCTCTCATCTATCTAAATGGTAAATTCAATACTCATTAAGAGCAAAATACATCTCCCCCTCCTCTAACGTAGAAATTATTCAAGTTTGATTTCTTTAATTATTTATAATAATCATAAGGCTAAAATAATAATAAAAATCTATTGAATTTTATCATTTTCTGTTGGTAGGTTTTATGTTTGTATTGAAAAGCAATTTTTAATTTTTATTTATACGAGAGTACACAATTGAATGTACAAATTCGAAAAGAAAATTTATAAAAAACTTACTAAATAAGGCGAAACTCTTTAGAATTAGTTTAAAATGGTTTAACCTTACGATAATTACAAAGAAAAATCATAAATAAAACGTGAAGGAAAGAAACACGATAAAGCAAGAAAAGATTATAATCTTTCACGAAAGAAATGCGGTACCGACGATATGAATTTCAACGCTTTAAAATTAAAATGAAGGAGAAGAAACCCGAATCAGTTGGCTACCTGTACCAGTAACCAACCAAGCTGGTGACCACATCTGTACAGTATCTTAGAAGCCGTCCCTGAATGATGTCCGGCTAAAATTAGGAATTTTGATCCCTCGATTTCACAATACTTCACCCTCCGTTTTTTTAAGGCTTAATATAAGACATACTTTATCATTTATATACATTCTAATTTTAATTTTAAATAATTGTTTTTTTATACTTTATCAAAAGTAATACTAATAAAATAATATATACTGTATTTTTTTGAACGCCGATAATTTAAATAAAATAAGATGAAAATAATTATTAAATATTGAAACATGATAAAAATGAGAAAATAAATATAATTCAGAAGTCAAACCATTAATAAATTATTTGTGTACCCATTTTAGATGTTAGGTGGATTAAATCTTTGGTAAAAAATATGATTTAGAAAAGAAAAATAGAAAATAATAGTTTTGTTTCTTTATATATTTTAATTTGTAACTCGTTACTGTTTGTATTCATTTTTTTTATCTGAATAATGTCTAGTTAAAATAAAAAAAAATGATTAATCACTTTAGAAACATTTCACTAATGTCATTTTATTCTTTTTAAGGTTTAGTTCACGATTTAACTTGTTAACTTTATTCAACTTTTACTATAATACCCAAATTATCAAATTTTCCCATTTTATAAAAAAATATCGTAAAAATGTATGATAAGACCTTTAAACAAATAAATGCTTTTAAAAAATTATTCATGAACTTACCATGCTAGGGTGATGATTCTTGCACCAAGTGATCGGTATTGCCTCATCACGTGACTATTGTACTTCAAAGTATGTTGTGTTGATAAAAGAAAATATTTTCATGATTAGTAATAGACTACTTAGGGTGCGTTTGGTTCATGAAATGTAAGATTATCAGAGTGAATAAAAGATTATTAGGGAATAGGATTACTGAAAATGTTGTATTTTGTGTTTGGTTGGTTTAACATGAATATAAGATTACCGTGTTTAGTTAAAAGAATAAAATATTATTAGAATGTATATTTGACCAAATATTTCTTATTATATATTTGTTTTTAATAAATTGGAAAATATTTATATATTTTCTTTAAAAATTTAAATTCATAAAATTTATATAATTTTTTTACAAAATTGAAAATATAAAAAGGGTAAAATTTTATTTTAACCCCTGAACTTCATATAAAATTTTAATTATAGATTTTTTTGTAAATCTAAAATAGTTTAAGAATAAATTTGTAATTTAACATTCGTAGAATGTTTATTATTCAATGAAAAAAAAATATTTTCGAGATAATTTTTTTAAGGGCATTTTAGACCAAAACGCTGGTAATCCAACGTTATTTTAATAGTTAATTCAGTACATTTTGGCTGAATTTCTCAAATAATGCAGTTGAAAAAAAATTTGTTCGAATAGGGCACTCTAGAAATTATTTCGTGAAATAGAGTGAATGCTACAGTAAACCAGAAGACGCATTGGAGTCCAAGCGACTTATACATAAATTTG